CTGGTTTCATAGCCCAGCTTTACTTCCACTTCACTTTGTTCTTCCTGACTGTGGATGCAATGTGACTAACTGTCTTCCCAGGTCTGCTTTAATGCACTGCCTGTATTCATGGATATATCCCCTTAACCTATAAGACATAATAAATCCCTTGTCTTAAAAAAAGTTAGTCTACAGTAACATGCCCATTTCTGAGTTCATGGTTCTCAGATCCCATCATCCACCATAGCAATTTCAACTATCCATATGATATAATCTATACTTTTCTAAGTTTTGTCATACTTACAAGTATGACATAATATACTTACAAGTATATTAAATCTCAAATAGCAACCCACTCTTCATTTTTTGTGTGTCCTGTCACCTTTTATATAACACCCCTGTATATATCCTTCTGCTTTCTTTGAGTACATTCTAACTAGGCACTGCAGTTCTTTCTGGGTTTATTTCCTTTCTTCCTCTAACCAAACTCTAGCATGAGACTAAGGTCATATTGTATTGTAATCCTTGCAGTTTATTCTACAACCACAAGGAGTTTAGATGGTATTTCTGCAAGTTCAAAATTTTCAGAAGAACCTGGAAGTATATGTCTACAATTGATGATTTTGGAGTTTATCAACCCTGGTGTCCATATCCCATGTTCCATTACTTGTCAATAAGATCTCTGATTTTAGCTGAGCAAATGTCCAATATTGTGAATGTGACTTCTTTTCTTTTTGAGCTAGCCTGCTCTTATGCTTTAATATTTAATATTTAATAATAGAAATATCCATTTCTATTTTGGAGGTTCTGTTTTATTTGTTTCTTAGTTATTTTTGTTTTATGCTCAGTAGAAGAAATGGAAGTCCTTTTATTTGCTACCAAGGAGACCTTCTGGTTTTCACACTTAAGCTTTGATGCTAATTAATCATTTCTTCTTTTCTCATTTTCCCAAAACATCAGCTTTGCCAGCAATAGCCTCCCAACTCTACAGTGTTTATAATTAGTTCCTCAACAATTTGATTCACTGTATTCTGCAAAGTCTTTGCTTTTACCTGCTTACTCTCTTGGCTGAGCATTGATGTAAGTCTCAATACCTACCATCTTACCCCCAAGAGCAACCAGGACTTACTAACTCTAGGGAGTTCTCATTGCTAGGTGGTTGCAGTATCCAGTTCCAAAGGGAAAAAAAACCTATTAGATTGTGTATTTCCCTAGAATACTAATACCACTGTTATGGTTTGGACATCTCAATGATGGAATCTGAACTAACATATAGGGAGGAATCTTGAGATCAGCTCCAATAATAGAAATGAATCAAATATTGGCAGAGAAAGAAACAAACATAATACTGACCAATAAAAGGCCTCAGCCATCTCTACACAGCTGTTGTGAATTTTTGGAATGGTCCTAAGATTGGGAAAGGTGGCTGGGGCACTTTTCCCCTGAATTAAGTAAGAATAGAAAGAAGATTTAAACTTACAAGTGATGGTTGCAGCCAACAAATTGGTTTTCAACTGAAAATACCTCCAACAAATAGAGGAATGAACTCTTACTCTTATTTTATTGTTTTATTGTGGTGATGAGACATCATGATCATGGCAACTCTTATAAGGCAAACAATTAATTGAGTCTGGCTTACAGTTTCAGAGGTTTAGTCCATTATTGTCATAGCAAGAAGCATGGGAGCATGTAGGCAGACATGGCGCTGGAGGAGGAGCTGAGAGTTCTACATCTTGATCTCCAGGAAGCAGAAGGAAATAGGGTGCCATGCTAGGCCTTGCTTGAGCATATATGACCTCAAAGTTCACCTGCACAGTGACACACTGCCTTCAACAAGGCCACACCTCCTAATAGTGCCACTCCCTATAGGCCAAGCATTCAAACACTTGAGTCTATGGAGCCATTCCTATTCAACACCCCCCAATGAGAAGCAGGATAACATATCATGGGATCAAACCCAAATAATTGCGTTTATCAATAGTCTTTAAGATTTATCTGTTTACACGAGGGAGGGCCTAGGCCCTACTTCAAATGATATGACAGACTTTGAAGACCTCATGGAAGACCTCATCCTCTCTGGAGAGCAGAAAGGGGATGGGATAGTGGGTTGGTGGGGGTCAGTGGAGGAGGGGAGGGAGAGGGAACTGGGATTGAGATGTAAAACAAGCTTGTTTCTAAAAAGAAAAATCTTTTTTCTAAGGAAAAAAGATTTACATGTCTTGACCATATTCTCCCTCCATTCTGGTGTTCTTTAATTCAACCCAACTGAATATTAAAAAGCCTGTGATATATAAAGTGCCATGCTAGTTGCCAGTCTAGTGTTAGACAGCTTGTTATCTACAAGCATAACATGAATCAGACAATTAAAGACAACTAGAGAATTAAGTAAAGCCTCATTTAAAAAGAGGATATCATTTGATTGGGTTAAAAATTTATGACCTGTGATGTTAGAATAAAATATTCATAAATGCAGCATCAAAGAGCTAGGAGAATGACAGTAAATGTTAACAGTTGTGATCTGAAGATACAACTAAGTTGGGAAAATGCTTGCCTAACATATATGAAGGCCTAGGCTTGATCTCCAGCACTGGTACATACCTGTAATCACAGCACTTGGGAAATGGAGATGAGAGGATCAGAAGCTCAAGGTCACCCTCTCCTTAGTGGTCAAGACATTCCAGGAATGAGTTGTGTGTTGAGATTTCTGGAGTGCTTGTGAGAAAACTCCAAGAAACCAAGACAAGAGTCTTATGACATCACTTTCTTCAAAAACACAGAATTATCCTTAGATTATGCTTTTGTGGTACTCCCAAGTGTAGCAGATAGAAATAAGTTTACTTCAGATTATTCATTATGACTGACTATTGTTATTTGTTTATATGTGTCTATGAAAAAAATGTTTTGCCATGTGCAGCTTGTCTGAAATGTGTGGCTTGCCCTGGTGATGGTGGTGACACTTGGCTACAAAGTTAAGGTCACCCTGGGCAACAGGAGAGAGAGGGAGAGAGAGAGGGGGGAGGGAGAGAGAGAGAGAGAGAGAGAGAGAGAGAGAGAGAGAGAGAGAGAGAGAGAGAGAGAGAGAGAGAAATGGGAGGGGGAAAACAAGTGATCAGTCCTAGATTTGTTAAGTTAACCTGTATAGAGCCCATTCTAAAGCAAAACCAGAAAATGTGTACTATAATATCTTAAAGGCAAAGAATATCATTTTATTTTAATTCAAGCAACTGACTCAAAGAAGCACTTAGTAAATGTTAATGAATGAAGAGGACAAGACTCAAGGTGATTGGATAAGATAGCCATAGTTTTGTACTTAGTAAACGGCTATCAGGATTTCAGTCTGTGTCTATATGCCTCCAAAACCTTTATGAGCTCCTTTGTACCATGTTTGAGTGAAAGTAGGTGGCTGTTCTTTGTTTGGATGCCCTGTATGTCTTTGTGGAACTGTACTCCTTGGAATCCATAAAGATGCCTATGTCCTCCTTGACTCTCAAAAAAGACAAAGAAAGACTCCAGGGGCAAATCAGACTGGATTTCCCCCCATTCCCTCAGGTTTCTGAACAACAAAAAAAATTACCTAGTCATTGTCTAGAGCAGTGGTTCTCAACTAAAAGACCCTTTCACAGGGTTTGTCTAAGACCATCTACATATCAAATATTTACATTACTATTCATAATGGTAGCAAAATTACAGTTATGAAGCAGTAATGAAAATAATTTTATGGTTGGGGGTCACCACAACATGATAGGCCAGAGCTTTAGGAAGCTTGTGACCCACTGTTCTGGAGCTATAAGTCAAATGACTATATAAGGCTTTCTGATGGGACCTTATATAATCATGATTTCATTTCTCATTGAATAATGACAATATCACACTTTCATATTTGGTTCTATGTGAGCCCATACCTGAGGTATGAATTCTAGAGTAAAATTTCTACATATAGGTTATAATCCTTGGGTCTGATGCTAAGGAAGGTTGTTAATTATAGTCAGTATATTTCTTCGACATTGTAATCTATACTCAGCTTCCAATCATCTACTAAATTTTTTTGTAATTTTTTCCACTTTATTTGTCAATACTCAGCATGCTTTGACTATTTCATTTAGTATTTAAAAGGACACATAAATTATCAATTTTTTATGACAAGATATCATTATGTAGCCTTGGTTTTCATGAAATTTTCATTGTAGGTCAGCCTGGCTTCAAATCTACAGAGATATGCCTTCCTCTGTCTCCTAAGTGCTGATATTAAATTGGCACACTATCACACCTAGTCTAAGGCATGTTTTATTAATTAAAATTATTTTATATGTATGGGTGTTTTGTCTGCATGTATGTATATATTATGAATGTTTATTATGTGTATGTGTGTATAGTGAGATCTCCTGGAACTGGAGTTACAGATAGTTATGAGCCATCACATGGATGCTGGGAATCCCAGGTCCTCTGGAAGAGCAACAAGTGCTCTCAGCTATTTACCCATTCTCCAGCCTGAATACATGTTCACTTAAATAAGTATTTTTTAATCTCTTCCTTATACCTTTTAGTTCAGAATAATAATGCTCAGTACACATAGGCTATCTACTGCTGGTAATGAGAAAATGAATCTGTATTGATTCCAACCAGCACCACTGGGATTCCAGTACCTGGACCAGATGGAATCCTGGCAGATACCTGAGAAGAGGAACAAAGCCCAAAACCTGGAAGACAGATTTCTGTCTGGATTAGGCTGGGTGCTGAACACAAGGTTCTAAGGAAGAGGAATTACAAAAGGAAGGTAAAGAGTTGTTGCTAACAAATTGTGGGCTTTATGTTCATAGACCCAGGCCATGGCCTTGGAAAGTCTGATAACTATTAACAGAGGACTGGCAAAGGCTGCACAGCATAGAACAGCTCCACACTGCTCCCTTATCTATAAAAAAGACATCCTGCTTTTCTACTAAAGAGCATTTCTTGCTGCCATTTCTCTACTTGATCAGCAACAAACTCACTCCATAACTCTAAATTGATTTTGAGCCACTTACCATGTCTATGAGCCAAAGGAAGTTTTCTCTTGCCAAGCAAATGGAAGACTATGAAAGCGGCTAGATTCATCTGAATCCTGAAGCAATGGGTTCTCAGTTGTTTCCAGTTCTAAACCGGAACGTGGCTGAACTTGGCTTTACTTCTAAGAAAGAAATTATAACAATTCTAAGTAAGCATCATATAAGAAAACACTCACGAGGAGATTCCCAGTGATCAGTGGGAATCTCTACAAGTTTGCTGGTTTCTTCTTTTTTTATTAGAAACAAGCTTCTTTTACATGTAAATACCAGTTCCCTCTCCCTCCCCTCCTCTCCTGCCCCCCCATTCCCAACCCCTTTGTGCTCCCCAGGGGGGGTGAGGCCTTCCACGGGGATCTTAAAAGTCTGTTTTATCTTTTGGAGCAGGACTTAGACTCTCCCCTATATGTCTAGGCTGAGAGAGTATCCCTTTATGTGGAGGGGACTCCCAAAGTCTATTCCTGTACTAGGGATAAGTACTGATCCACTACAGAGGCCCCATAGATTGCCTAGACCGCCAAACTAACATCCTCACTCAGGGGGGTCTGGAAGAATCCTATGCTGGTTTACCAGTTATCAGTCTGGGGTCCATGAGCTCCCCCTTGTTCAGGTGGGCTATCTCTGTGGGTTTCTCCAGTCTAGTCTTGACCCCTTTGCTCATGACTCTTCTCTGCCTGCAACTGGATTCCAGAGTTCAGCTCAGTGTTTAGCTGTAGGTGTCCGCCTCTGCTTCCATCAGCTACTGGATGGAGGCTCTAGGATGGCACATTAGGTAATCATCAATCTCGTTATAAGAGAAGGGCACTTAAGTTTTTTAACATGTCTCCAAGATCCTAGGGAACACATACCTGTTCCTCATCATCTGCAAATAAAATTTCTTGAATTCCATGAGCATTGAAACATCATCAGTCTAGGCTGTTGCTGCTGGAGCCATCTAAAATGACACAAGAGGGATGCTCACCCCAGGCACACCATTTGAAGCTTTTTCTAAACACTCAGCAGAAAAAAAATCACATTGTATGGGATATCTTTGAACAATGCCCCAATCCATGATGAAGAAAATAAAAAAAAAAGCATGTAAGAAAATAACCGCTCTAATGCCACCTGAGATTCACCTCTCCTACCCTCCGTCCCAGCTGCAATACTAATAAAGGCTGGAAGAGCTCCTCTTGTGGATTTTAATCCTGTCCTAGTTGAATAGGGTGGGTGTTTGCAGAATAAAGCCACAGACAGAAAAGTCAACAGCCATTGACAAGAAAGCTTGGAAAGGATATTAACTGCCCCAGGACTTCTCCAGTTCCACAGAATTTTTACTAAAGGGTTCTTCAGAGTGGGTTGCCTTCTCTCATGATCCAATCTCCAGAGCCATGGTGACATCCACTAGTCTTTGGGTTGTGTAAGCACAACCTGGTGAGTGGTTTTTGCACTGATATGCTTTCATTTCAAATGAGATATCTCTTCTTCAGCTTTTATAAGGTTCATATATTCTGTATTGTTAGGTCTGTATGACAGTGGAACCCTTGAAACCCCATCTTTGCCCAGGTCCTAACATGGGTTGTCTTTATCTTTGCAGTTCTAATAAACTGAAAACATGTCTGAGTCAGTAGGAAACAGAGGGATGATTTTCTTTCATTGCATTTGAAAAACAGCAAAGATCATGGTTTTTCTCCTTTTACAAAAAATAAGCCAATGACTTCTTTATAATAGATATCCTGTTTTCCCTTAGGTGTGGCCCTAGAGTCACCCAGGCTGAATTAGTGTTCTTTGTAAAGCTCTCATTAGTGCAAATGGCACAAGAAGTAAAAATGGAACTCCACATGCAGGCCTGTTTTAAACACATAACCATCTGTGCTCATGAGTCATGCATTAAGCTTTTAGGTAATCCTGTCAGCAACAATGCTGGATTTAGGAAGGTGTCTGACCTCAGGCATTAACTAGAAAAATGCCTTGTTCTTTCAGTTCTGTCCCAGCTGAGTACTACCTTTTAAAAAATGAAAAAGGAAAGGAAAAAAAAACAAAGAAGAGAAACACACAAAGCATTGGGTACTGTTACAGAAGCACTCTTTCCAAAACACTCAGAGCACATGTGGAAATGGCCCTGTGATCTTCCAGTGTCACTAGAAATTATGCAACTTGAGCATCACTACCACCAGTGATTTCGGCAAAGCTCTAAATCCTCAAATCCAAAGAGATTTTTCAAGTTGCCATTCTTTTGGAATCTAAATGTTTTATCATAAACCTAATCTGAGATAAACCATCATTTGGTGTTTTTTTCTGGCACCATTTTATGGAAGGTTTTATTCTAAGTCAATCACTGTCATATTTATGAGGATTTTGAGCATATTATTCACAGAAAGATATAGTACAAAAGCTACTGATTCCTTAACTTTTATGAGAGTGACACAATATTTATCCACTTCTCTCATATTTTAGTCCTTCTGGTTCTGAATATTGGACCAATTAGAAACAAGCAGTGGCATCTACTTTATCCCATTCCATTTTCTCCAGTGGCAAGGATCATCACCATGCCTACGGTCTTGCCTCAGAGGAAGGCTGGTTCTGTAGAGTGTATACTTGTCAGGTACTGGTTTGTGAGGAAAACAAACTGCAATTGTTTCTGAAAGGGTGATTTCAAACCTATCTGAATTGAACACTGAACTTGTGGAGAAGTATTTGATCAAAGCAGATTTCCAACATCCTCTCAGACTGGTGTGTCAAAGTTGAGTTTGAAAATAGACCTTGATACAACCAATATAGCTTGGAACTCATTTTATATCATTAAACAATAAATTTCAAGTTGTCTTTTGTTTTTTCTCCATTTTTTAATTTAAATTAGAAACAAGATTGTTTTACATGTCAATCACAGTTCCCTCTCCCTCCCCCCCTCCCCTGGCCCCACTAACACCCTACCTATCCCATACCATTTCTGCTCCCCAGGGAGAGTGAGGCCTCCCATGGGGGGGGGTCTTCAGAGTCTGTCATAACCTTTGCAATAGGGCCTAGGCCCTCCCCTGTGTGTCAAGGCTGAGGGAGTATCCCTCTATGTAAAATGGGCTCCCAAAGTCCATTCCTATGCTAGGGATAAGCACTAATCTACTACAAGAGAGGCCCCATAGATTTCTGAGGTCTCCTCACTGACACCCACATTCATGGGGTCTGGATCAGTTCCATTCTGGTTTCCAAATGATCTGTCTGGGGGCCAAGAGCTCCCCCTTGTTCAGGTCAGCTGTTTCTGTGGGTTTCACCAGCCTGGTCTTGACCCTTTGCTCATCACTCCTCCTTCTCTGCAACTGAATTCCAGTTCAGTTCAGTGTTTAGCTGTGGGTGTCTGCTTCTCCTTCCATCAGATGCTGGATGAAGGCTCTAGGATATCATATAAGTTAGTCATCAATCTCATTATCAGGGGAGGGCATTTAAGGCAGTCATTCCACTATTGCTTAGATGGATATTTGGTGTAATCCTTGTAGATCTCTGGAGATTTCCCTAGTGCCAGATTTCTATTTAAACCTATACTGGCTCCCTCTCTGATGGTATCTCTTGTTTTGCTCTCCTCTATTCTTCCCCCTACACAGCCCTCCTCCTCCCTAATGTCCTCCTCACCCCTCCTCTTCTCCCCTTCTCATTCTCCTAGCTCCCTCCCTCTTCCCTCATGTTCCCAATTTGCTCAGGAGATCTTTCTCCTATTCTCCTATTCTCCTATTCTCCTATTCTCCAGGGAACCATGTTTGTCTCTCTTGGACTCCTCCTTGTTGCCTAGCTTCTCTGGTGGTGTGGATTGTAGGCTAGTAATCCTTTGCTCTATGTGTAAACCATATATGAGTGAGTGCCTACCATGTTTGTCTTTTTATAACTGGGTTACCTAGCTCAGAATGGTTTCTTCTAGTTCTATCGATTTGCCTGCAAATTTCATGATTCCATTGGTTTTTTTCTTTCTGTTGAGTAGTACTCCATTGTGTAAATGCACCACATTTTCTGTATTCATTCTTCAGTTGAGGGGCATCTAGGTTGCTTCCAGGTTCTGGCTATTGCAAATAATGCTGCTATGAACATAAGTGAACAGATGTCCTTGTTGTATGAATGTGCTTCCTTGGGTATATGCCTAAGAGTGGAATTGCTGCATCTTGTGGTAGACTGATTCCCATTTTTCTCAAATATCCCCATACTGATTTCCAAAGTGGCTGGACAAGTTTGCACTTCCCACAGCAGGGGAGGGGGGTTCCCCTTTCTCCACATCCTCTACAGCATAAGTTATCATTGGTGTTTTTTATTTTAACCATTCTGACTGGAGTAAGATGGTTTCTCAGAGTTGTTTTGATTTGCATTTCCCTGATGGCTAAGGATGTTGATCACTTTCTTATGTGTCTTTCAGCCATTTTAGATTCCTATTTAGTTAGAATTGTCTATTTAGTTCTATACCCCACTTTTTAATTGGATTCTTTGGTACTTTGGGAATTAGCTTTTTTAGTTCTTTGTAAATTTTGGAGGTCAGCCTTCTGTCAGATATGGGGTTGGTAAATATCTTTTCCCATTCATTTTATTGATTCTTGGCCTTTTGACCAAAGAACCATTATTTGCTGTTTGTTTGTTTCTTTAACATAAGTAACAATGGAAACAGCAGGTTGCTGTCCTGAGGAAAACCAGTCACTTTCTCATTGTCCAAGGGAAAACAATGAGCTTATTGGAAGTGTTATTAACAATACTGCCAATAAAGATAGAAAGTCACTTGAGGAAGCAAAGGGAAGGTGAGCTGAGGAAAACCAAACAGACACTAAAATATACCTTGTCTTAAACAAAGTGGTGTTGTACACCTGCCATCCCAGCACGTGAGAGGTAGAAGCAAGTTCAAGATCTTCCTTAGATACCCAGCCAGTTTAAGGATGAGCATAACAATTAAACATCTTAAATCATTCTAATGTGTAGCCAGAGTTGAGAACTTGTGGTTTTTAAGTATACAAGTGATACATCATGAGAGTATCTCCAAATCTATACAAATAACATATGAAGTATAGTAAGTAAAACATGACACTGAAGTTGGCCAAAAGCAGTAACTACTAGGGCCTTCAAATACAGACTAAATATATTATTTCTGACAAAAATTTCTATAATAAACTAAAAGCCATTAATTGCAATTTCACTATAGGAAATGATACTAAACTCTGATACACACTTCTCAAGAGAACACATTGCTGAGACCATGAGTATATGCTATGCTACCACAAGGACTGTGCCGGAGGAAGCTTGGTTGCCTAATGCTGAAGATCAAAGACCTGATTTTAATCTGGTGTTTTGGTTGGGTTGGCTGATTGGATGGTTTCACTGTGGTTTCTCCTTTCTTCCTCTAGGTGTATAAGCCTTTCAGAAACCTGCCTAAGTTTCTATTGTTTCTGTGCCATTCTCCTCCTTTCTTCATCATCCTCCATCTTTATTTCTTCTCCCAGTTAAACTGAACAAGAGGACAGAAAACAGACACCTTAGAACCTAAGTGAGAGGATGTGGTGGGGATGAGAATGGCAGAACTTAAGGCATTCATGTAGCTTTGTCCACTGACTCAGACTCTTGGCTCTGTTAGGCAAGTTCTTTTATTTTTATAACACTCTCATCAGGAAGACTAAGTGCAGAAACTAAGCGCACACTGTGCTCCAGATAGAAGACCTGCCATAATGGTTGTCTGGAATCTCCAGCTCAGTGAATACGCTTATCACTGATCTACAGCTACTTATTCTGGGTTTAGCAGAGGAAATTCTTGTACCTGGCTGCAGTTAGCCTGGCAGGGACTGATGTCTTAGTTAATATGAGACTGTCTGTCCTCGCAGGCATCTGCTCCCTCTGCGACCCAACTCAGATCAAGTAGTCCCAGGGGCCAGGTTCTCACTCTGCTCTCACATTCAGCCCTAGGATTCCTACCAATATCAAAGGGTATTCCCACAGGGCAATATGAAAAAGGTCAGACTGGCCCCTCTAATTGAGCAAGCAGGACCACAGGAGTGTGGAAGTTCTGATCCCTTTGAAATGTGCTTGTAACATGTGTGAGCTGGGAGGCAAGAGTCCAGAAAACATCCAGTCATCTGCGCCTTGCCTTTGACAGTTTCATTGTATAATGTCTGTTCAAAAGGAGAGATTCATTTCACCGGATTTAAAATCAAAAAGGGCACACAGTTTACTTACAGTGGAGTATAAAACATATCAGTCGGCATTTTCTGACTTTCTTTGTCCATTGATGAAAGCAGTTTAATGTATTACATATGACTGTCCTCTCCATTACATAGAACCTGATATGAATCAGATCAAAGATGTTGCCAGAAGAAACATTTAGTTTATCTCGTTCTAAAGCTTCATTGCTCGTGAATCCCAAACAGCTTGGAAAATTCAGGCACTTACATGAGGAACAAGAAGATACATGGCTCTGTTATATCTTTAAGATATAACCTCTTAAAGTGCCTATATTATTTCCTTCACATACCAGGGTCAATGTTGATTTGTTGTTATATCTAAGCATCATGGGATTTCTCACATAGACAAGAAATGCAATAGCCCTAAGTAGAATGCTTAAAAGATTCAGAGACCTCATCCCTGTTCTTCTACCCATTTCGATACATGTAACTTAGGAGGTCACTCTCCTCCTACCTTTTCTGTAAAGTAAAAATGATCAAACTGGCTGGATGGTGGCTGCACATGCCTTTGATCTCAGCACTCAGGAGGCAGAGGCAGGTGGATCTCTGTGAGTTTCATACCAGCCTACTCTATAAGAGCTAGTTCCAGGACAGCTTCCTAAGCCACTGAGAAACCCTATCTCGAAAAACAAATAAACAAATAAATTTATAAATAAATAAATGATCAAACTAAATTTATACTACCTTCTACACGAAGTTGTCTTGAAGTTCATAAGAGGTCCTGAACATAAAAGTGTGCATGTCGTCTCTGCTGTCATTGCTATTCTACATGTTAAACCATACTCTCATGTCAGTGGTGGATAGGAAACCTTTGTGGGATGGCAAGATGGCTCAGTGGATAAGGGAGTAGGCTATCAGGTCTTACAATGCAAGTTTGATTCCAAGAATTCACATAGTAAAGGAGACAGCAAACTCCCAAGAATTGTCCTCTGACCTGCACTTGCATATTATGGCATGCACACACACACACACACACACACACACACACACACACACACACAAGCACGCACACCACAGGGGAGAAACATACATGTACCCATGTACGCTTAAAATAATAATAGTAGTGATGATAAAAAGTAGAAGAGAAATGTGAAAAGTAAACCATCTGGGAAAATTTGAGTTAGTACAGTCCTTTAAGTCCATGTGAACGTCATATAGTCATTGGCTTAAAGAAAGGAAAAAGCAGCCCCTCACATTATCAAGATGAACAAGAAGACTGGAACTCAAGAAATCACTTCCTCCAAATATACTTAAAATAGGAAAATAACAGAATATAGATGATATGAAAAGAGAAACAGAAAAATTGTAGGAGAGAAAAAAGTCAATACAGAAGGAGAAGCAAGAAAGAAGGACAAATAATGTCAGTATTGTTTGATAAAACCTTAGGAAACCACACTGCATACAAATGCATGGAGAGAGAGAGAGAGAAAGAGAGAGAGAGAGAGAGAGAGAGAGATTAAACAAAATTATGCCACTTAGGCTGACAATAGACTCCACAAGAACCATAGACTAGCAAATCAATAATACCATGTTGTAGGAACTCATTCAGCCTCATTCAGTCAATAACCTTTGGGGTACTGGTTCATTAAGGCATGGTCTCAGGTGTTACTTGTGAACAGATGGGGGACAGAATGTGCTCATGGGTTCTCTCTCTCTCTCTCTCTCTCTCTCTCTCTCTCTCTCTCTCTTGAGTGGTGGCAGTGGTGGGAAACCTCCTTTTGAGTGGTTGGTCAAAATAGTCCAGACGATTGCTGTTGCCCTTGGTGCTGCAGACACTTCACACTTAGGGCACAGGGCTTGTATTATTCAAGCTAGACCTAAACTGAAAGCTTCCTTCCTAAGGTCTAACTTCCATATACTGGAATGTGCTATACAAGCTGCCAAGGAAGAAAAGTAATTAGTAATCCTAACCAGCTGTGACATCTCTGAACCAGAACTATGACTGACATGGCAAAGTACCTATAAAGATCCAATAGTAGTATTAACATGTTGGTGATAAACAACAGCTGTCTAAGTAGACTTAAGGCTCACTCAACAGGAAGGAAGTCATGGCTGGTACCAGAAACCTACACACCTGCTATGGCTAGTGAAGTCATGGAACTTAGAAAATAATCTACTATAGACACTTTGCTAGACTAACATAATTCCTTACCTACATACTGAATCTTAAACTCACTGCCACCCCTCATCTGTAGAGAGAAACTTCTCTCTACAGAAGATGGAGACTATTAAAGAAAGCTGCAACTGAACACAATGCGAAGATGATTGTGGGATGCCCAGCCACAATGGAAGCATCTACAAAGCAGGTCCTACGTCTATGGCTCAGAGAACATGGTAGAAGAGGGGGTAGAAAGATTGCAAGAACCAGATTTCCAGGAAGTTTGCTGTGTGACTGCCTGTTTTAGAAGGAGATGCATAAACATGATCAGAATATTGGCAATATCAATAGATGTGCTAATGTAGAGAAGGGAAAATCTCATGGTGTCCTGCCCGGAGACCCAGAACTACAGAATATTAATGACTGCTGAGAGTGGTGAGATTAACCTCTGCCAGGGATGAGCCCCCTCATTGGTTGTTCAATACCGAGAAAACAGCCCTGAAACCACAAGCACACAAAAACCAGAAATGGGCTTACCGTGTTGTACTTATATATTCATCTGCCCTTCCATCTGTCCATTCATCCATCTGTCCATCCCTGTGTGTGTGTGTGTGTGTGTGTGTGTGTGTGTGAGAGAGAAGAGAGAGAGAGAGAGAGAGAGAGAGAGAGAGAGAGAGAGAGAGAGAGAGAGAGAGAGAATAATCAAAAAGGGAAAGCTATGCATTTGAGACAGAAGGAGGACGTGGGAGAGATAACTTGGAGGGGACTGGAAGGTCGGGTATCTTAGTTAAGGTTTTTAGTGTATTGCTGTAACAAAACACCATGAGCAAAAGCAATCTGAGTAGAAAAAGTTTGTTTGATCTAGCACTTCACATCACAGTTCATCACTGAAGGAAGTCAGGTCAAGAACTCAAGTAGTGCATGAAAGAATGCTGCTTAACTGCCTTGCTTCCTAATACTACCCAGGACAGCCTTCCAAGGGGTGACACTGCACATAATGGGATGTGCCCTCCTACTTCACTAATTGATCAAGAAAACACACCATAGACTTGCCTACAAGCCAATCCTATGAAAGCATTTTTCTCGAGTATGTTTCTGTCTTCCCATCTATGTCTATGTTTGTGTCAAAGTTGACAAAAAGCAACTAGTACAAAAGGGGGAGAGAAGAATATAACTATATTTTAAGTATATTATATTCTAAGTAAAAGTAAATAATAGTTAATAAATAAAATAATTAGTAAATACATAATAAAAAAAGTGAACAAATAGACTTCTAAAATAAAATGGAAACAGGCCTTCATCAGTGAAGTCAGATTTAGAGGGAAGTATGAAATAAAGAGAATTTTCCAAGAGGACACCTGGCCCTCAGAATAGCTGAATTGGTGTCAGGAAGATATACAGAAAATTGAGGACTGTGACAGGAAGTCATGGACTAAGACATCTCTGAGGGAGAATATTTCACTTCCAACAGCAAGTCTTTGCCACAGCACTCCTGAGGACATCTGAGAGTGTTACTGACAGTCATCACTGGCTGTCACGTTTACTGAAACTATAGATACATACTGCCCAGACTCTAAAAAAAAGTCATCTATGACTGGGATCTTAACAGCTTTCCATAACTCCCTCAAATTGTGATAGATGAGACACTACATATGTTCCAGTCAGTGCTTCACAGCCTCTATTGTGGGATTCAAGGCAGACAGGAAGCTCCAAACAGTGTATGAAAAGACAGCATTGGCCCCTGATTCGAGGGAAATCCGGGAACCCAAGGCTAGGACTCCTGAGAATTTTGGACTTGAACTAAGAAAATTTTTACTTTGAGGATCTTTAGACCATGGTGCTAATCCCATGTATCTAAAGAGAATGCTTAATTTGCCAAGATTCATTGGTTATCTACTTACAACTTTACGAGTAATAATTTTTATATCTTTTTACTTTGATATTTAAAAAACAAAACCGTTATTCTGCTTCTCTTTGGGCATTTCAAAGCATGTGTCTCCTAGAGTTCCCCAAAAGGCAGACAGATATGAGGACAAAGAAACAGAAAATAGTCCAAGTATCTTCTACAAAGAAGCCAGGTAATGAATGCCATCTGAATGCTGCTTCCCCTGTCAAACCCAACATAGAGAGATGGAGAGCCTGCCTTTTCAGGACAATAAGATTTTCTACCCTTAGCTGTCTTCCTTTGGCTATTTAAAAGATGTCCCTCTATTCTACTGAAAACATTTGCTAACTGAACTGTTTCAATCTGTTGTTGGTCAGACTGTCTGCAGTTTACACAGACCAGAGAACTCATCTTCCCAGGGGTAACTTCTCAGGTGCAAACATTTTATACACACAAGATAGAACTCATTTTTATGATGTGAATTTCCATCCCCCTCCCTGACCCCAGAAACATTAAAATATAGCTACAATGTAGTCTTATTACTTTTATTTGAGAAGTATCTCTTGAATCATTCAGCATGCCGATGAAATCAAGATTGCATTATCTACCTTCTGTAGCCATCATCCCGTAACACACCTCATTTATTTGACAACATTATAAAATGTTTCAAATAAGCGAGAAACTGTGATTTGTCTACTAGACTGAGTTGCACAATGTGTTTTGTTTAAGTGGTTTCATTTGAAAGATTTTCAAAATACACTGAAGAATTCTCTGCCTCTTAGAGGTTGCTGGCCACATTTTTCTCTACTTACATTGCTTGACATTCATGGTCAATACTTTGGACATCTTATTTATTACCTTGCAGAGTTATTTATACAGGAATACTTTCTAACTGAAGAGGGCCAGTTGCCCATGCACAAAAGGAACACAGGCTACTTGCTGCAATGTGTGTTTGCTGCTCGTGAATCCACACTGTGTATCATAAGATGACCATCAGTTGTGATTTCCCACTGAGCATGATGGGTTTGCACTTTTTTTTCTAATACACTATTGTTACCAGGGAACATAGGATCCCTTTGATGGTTTCTTAGCCTTGTAGATAAAAGAATTTAAAAGCAGAAAGTGAATGGGGAAATGATGTAATTATCATCTCAAAAATAGGAATAATTTAAAACAATATAAAAATTTAATAAGAATGGAGTGAGAGATGGCATTTAAATTAATCTATTTAAAGAAAAATGATCAGAAAGGAACCGTCAAGATGGAGGTATAAGTATCTGCCAAAAGGATAGCTAAACAAAAAAGAGAACATTATGCTTTTTTATTTATAGCAACATAGGTAGGAAGTCTGTGAGAAACTACATTGTGTATATAAAAGGAGGGGTGGAGGGACAGAATGAGACAGAGAACAGAGACAGACAGAGAGATGGAGCCTAAAGTCCTAAGGCATGCTTTGCTCAGGATTTTGACCAACATTTTAAAAAGGAAAATATAGGAAAGACAGTTAACTTTCTGAACAAGAACCCAGAAAGCAGGCAGCCTTGGCAGTGAGGGACTTAAAGCAATTGCATCCATGGAAGAGCTTTTGAGGTTCAGGGGTACAGATCTCAGTAAGGAATAATTACACTGTGTTCTTACTGTGACTTCTGGTATAACTGAAGCTTCGACAACAGATAGCTTTGTGAGGGGAGCTTTTCTTTCCAGGTGTTTGACAGGGCCCATTTACATTAACTCTTAATAGTAAGGGACAATATTTCTTCAGGATTTTATATTCTTTGGGGGAAGTTTACATGACTTATCTCTACCAATGGCCAGAAATATAACTTAGGTCCCATTGCTGTAACCAAAAACTTTTCAACAGAGTAAATTTTAAAAATTAAAGAAGAAATTAAAATCTATTACCACTAGGAACATGCCTTCGATTGATGGGCCTACACTATGTCCACTTTCCTCCCTTTCATATGGCATTTTAAGTCCACAGAAAGGACATTTATGTTAGGTTCTCACTCATTTCAGAGATTATTTCAAATTCTAAGGAGGACAAGGATATTTCCCCTTTTTTAAAATTAGTATGATGTCAGGGTAACAAGAAGTAGTATCCAAAGCTGATCAGGATGGGCCCTTGAAACTTATTATAATTAGAGAGGCCATGATCCAAAGTTTCTAAAAAAAAATGTGCTTAGCAAGAATATCCAAAGTGAACATCAGAAGATGATCCAGTAAAGCTCATGACCGACAAGTCCATTCTGTTGCCTCTAGACTGTAAAGAGTATTTTCTCCTCACTCTTTCCAGCTGAATTTCAGACACAGGAGACCAGGAAAACATTCCAATGGTGAGGTATGTGGAGTGGCCTGGAATCATCCTTGTGCAAGACATAGTTCTTGTAACACCAGAGAGGTTTTGAGATTAAGGCAGATCTGGTAAAGGGTTTCTGTATTAGTAAGGGCCCCTTGACATTATTAGTTCATCAGTTTTAGGGTTCTTATTTTTGAGCACTCAATCATTGCTTGATTAATTTGACCACTTTTAATTTGGATACCTAAAGACCTCCATTAAGAAAGCCTTATTACTATACCATGGTCCTAACAGACGCCATAAACATTTCAAAGGAGAGAGCCACTTTAGCCTTGTTAGATCTCTGGTCTTCATGGTCTGGGTGGGATGCTATAATCTCTGGGAGCAGATAGCAGTGCCAGAGCCCTCAGTGTCTGAGCAGAACTGTCACACTGTCATTAGAAAGACAGAAACTCGCCTAGAAATAGATCAGAAGAAGAGCGTTTCAAAGCCATCACAATGGAGTCTTCTAACTTCCTGCTAAGTGGCTGTCTCTAAAAACGGAACTCACATTTTCTGCCAAACATCTGACACCACAGGAAACTGGAAATCAGGACAGCTGAGTATACAGGACTCTGGAGAACCTGACACAAGGGGAAGAAGCTTCTTGGTTTAGTTTCCTCACTTCTTAAGTAGCTAAGGTATCCATCCATCCATCCATCCATCCATCCATACATACATACATACATACATACATACATACGTGTGTGGGGGGGGGTATTTTAACTTTCAATACTGGAAATGCCTCTACTCAATTTGAAATGTAGTTCATTCTCTTCATAATTTTAAGCAAAGCCTTAAAATAACAATAAGGTCTTTGAAGGAGTATCTAAACCACACTCAAGCTCTCAGTTAGCCATTACATCCTTTCCACCACCTGATTTTGTCAATGGAACCTGAGCATCTTATGTCTTCCATTTCTACAAATAAGAAATAGGTTGAGGTTCTAAAGAGGAATGTAACAGGGTACATCCAATTTACTTATTTACTTTATAATCTTGCCCCAGGAGAGCAAGAACTATCCCTTTGATTCTATCTGTGTCTGTCCCTAGCTCAGACATATAAATAAATAAATAAATAAATAAATAAATTTAAAAGAAAGAAAATAAAGAAAACATGTATTAGGTATTTTTTCTGTTTGTATGATAAAATACCTTGACCAAAGGTATTAAGAGGGAATGTTTCAAAAGGAATACCTAGACAGTATGAAGGAAAACAAAGTGCATGGAGACCCACCCCCAGAGAAGAACAGAAGGAGCCCCAGGGACCGGACACCATCCTAGACTCCCCCACTCCTGTCTTTTCATGCCACCATAGCTTCTTTAGCTGTCTTCCTTCTTGGCTTCTTTCCTTCGTTTTCTCTTTTCCGCTTCTCTCTGGCTGGCCCACCTATGTGCCATCCATCCCCTCACTGCTGCGTCTCTGGTCTCTACCTGTTGATGTGCCCTTTTGCTCCCTGTACAGCACCATCACAGCATTCCCCAGGGGACTCTTCTGGAAAGGGTGCCAAAGGCTGTGAGAGGCACACAGAGACAGACCATCTGGCAATCAGTCAGCCCCAGAAGAGAGACACAGTCAAGCAAAGTTTTCTGCTTGCTCTTCCTTACAGATCAGAGAAAACTGTCATCCTTCCCCAACAATGATGACAGGAAAGGTGAAAATGGGAAATTTTCCTTCCTAGCACCCCAAGAATCTGAGATTTGCACATTAATTTATTCTTAATTAAAATGTACTTTTATCTTATAAAATCAACAGATAAAAAACAATGTACAGTCTGGGGTCCATGAGCTCCTGCTTGTTCAGGTCATCTGTTTCTGTGGGTTTCACCAGCCTGGTCTTGACCCCTTTGCTCATCACTCTTCCCTCTCTGCAACTGGATTTCAGTTCAGTTCAGTGTTTAGCTGTTGGTGTCTGTTTCTTCCATCAGCTGCTGGATGAAGGCTCCAGGATGGCATATATAGTAGTCATCAATCTTGTTATTGGGGAAGGGCGTTTAAGGTAGCCTCTGCCCTGTTGCTTAGATTGTTAGTTGGTGTCATCCTTGTAGATCTCTGTAGATTTCCCTAGTGCCAGATTTCTATTTAAACCTATAATGGCTCCCTCTATTATAGTATCTCTTCTCTTACTCTCCTCTATTCTTTCCTCAACTCAACCTTTCTGCTTCCTCATGTCCTCCTCCCCCCTCCTCTTCTCCCCTTCTCTTTTCTCCTAGTTCCCTCTCCTCTCTTCCATGCTCCCAATTTGCTCTGGAGATCTTGCCCCTTTCCCCTTCTCTGGGGGACCACGTATGTCTTTCTTAGGGTCCTCCTTGTTTGTTTCCTAGCTTCTCTGGTGGTGTGGATTGTAGGCTGGTAATCCTTTGCTCTATGCCTAAAATTCATATATGGGTGAATACCTACCATGTTTGTCTTTTTGTGACTGGGTTACCTAGCTCAGGACCCCAGACTGATACCTGGGAAACCAGTATAGGACCGATCCAGACCCCCTGAACGTGGGTGTCAGTGAGGCAGCCTTGGCAATCTATGGTGTCTCTGGCAGTAGATCAGTATTTATCCCTAGCATACAAATGTACTTTGGGAGCCCATTCTACACAGAGGGATACTCTCTCAGCCTAGACACATGGAGGAGGGCCTAGGCCCTGCTCCAAAGGATATAACAGACTCTGAAGATCCCACATGGAAGGCCTCACCCTCCCTGGGGAGCAGAAAGGGGATAGGATAGGGTGTTAGTGGGGGGTAGGGATGGAGGGGAGGGAGATAGAACTGGGATTGACATGTAAAACAAGCTTGTTTCTAATTTAAATAAAAATAGAAAACAAATTTTAAAAATAGAGGGAAAAAAAGAATGATGTACATAGCAATACTGGCACTGTGAGCCTGCCATCTCCAGTTTGGCCATAGGCAGACTAGCCATAGGGCATGGCAGGCACACATAGAAATGAATTTGTGCTGTCTTCTGGCCTTCAGCTTCTTAGAGGGGCCAAGGATATTAGCCAGAAGGAGGGAGCAGTAGTTGCAGGTGACAGAGTGGCTTTGGACAATAAGCCCCTGCCCTTGCTGCATTTCTTTGCTTCCACTACCACTAGCTTGTTTGGAATCTTGAGGTGGAGGTGTCTTTGGGGATCTTAGCTGCTATCCAGGATTTGAGTTTAGGGAGTGGGAGCAGCCTTGTCAGATGGGGCACCCATGTCCTACGGGGTGGGGGGGGTTGATAAGACCCATCATCTGTAATGCCCTTGGCACAATAAAATCAAATGTCAATTTCCCTGAAAGAAAAAGATGGAGAGGGGTGTTGTTTTGTTTTGACTGAGAGATTCAGTTTCCCATCATGGTGGGGAAGTATTTATTGTTAGGAAACAGGGAGTGAGGAATGCTTATGCTCTGTTAGCTTTCTCCTTTTTAGGCAATCCTGGATCCAATCCACATAATGATGTCACCCATATTACAGTGGGTCTTCCCACCAAAGTTAACCTAATCAATGTAATCCTTGACACACAATCCTAGCATCCTGTTTCCTTAGTGATTCCAGATTGGTCAAGATGACAATCAAGACCAACCATTTCAGTGTTTGCCAGATATCACTTCCCCAGCAAGGAGAAACACTCTTTGTGGAATTCATGCATCTACTCAATTAATCAATCGTGAAAACATTACTGCCTACCTACTGAGAGCATGGAAGAATTTCTGGCCATGATGGAGACCAAATCAAACTTACATTGAGTAATTTCTGTTCTTGTATTACAGGGGACTGATAAGAATAACAAAAAATGCAAATTAACAATTCAAATGTCATTGCAAAAATTCCCGTGACAGGGAACATTAAGGAATTCTGCAATTAGGACCTCAAACCAACCTGGAGGTCAGCAAATGTTTTCCTCTGGATGACACATTTACACTGAATCCTGAAGCTGAAAAGGGAAGTTTGAATTGATTTCCAGTTGCCATTGATGTCATTCCTCATGCATAGGTAATGATTCCTTCACAAAATCACTGCAAGGTTCAGAAAGTTTCTGTACTGCCAAACACCCAGAAGTGCTAGAAAGTACTTTACCACCTAGAAAGGGTGTGGGAGTGGTGTTGAAATCAGAAATCAAGTAAGAATAGACCTCTGGTGACTAAAATCAGGATTCAGAGAACTTGAATTAGGCTGGTGTGTTAAAATCAGAAAAAAATGGTGGTTTAAAGAACAAAGGAAGGAAACCAATTATGTCAGGGTCGGAGTCTAAAAGAGGAGAGGCCAAAGGTCTTCATCTATAATGATCCTTTGAGTACCTGAGACACCTACCACTATCTTCTGCTGTCTCCACCTCCCTTAACTCAGGTGACATTCATGACAAAGACATTTATTCTTCATGTAGAAGTGGAGTACAGGCTGATCACAAAGTCAAATCCAGTTTGAGGAATATTGAAAGGATTTATACAGTCACAACTACCTTTCAGGAATGACCTAGATGCTGAGAATAAAAGAGTGAACAAGAGAGACTTTTGTGGTTCCTTCCTTTTATCATATTACATTCAGGGTGGGAAGAGGAAGTGGAAGACATCCTGGGAAGAAGAATAGAAAAAGAAACAACTCTATCTGAAAAATTATATCAAGATGTGATAAATTATACCAACAAATCAAACTAGACCAGACTGAGAATATAGATTCTGATATTTTAGACAGAAAAACATGAGATAGCCTACCTCCCTTGGATGATGACATTTGAGCAGAAGCCTGAATAAAGGGAAAATTAGGATATAAAAGATATGACCGACTCTGAAGACCCCCCCCCCATGGAAGGCCTCACACTCCCTGGGGAGCAGAAAGGGTATGAGATAGATAGGGTGTTAGTTGGGAGGAAGCAGGAGATGAGGGGAGGGATAGGGAACTAGGATTGACATGTAAAACAATCTTGTTTCTAATTTAAATTTAAAAATGGAGGGGAGAAAAAGAAACCATATTTATTTTTAAGTATTTGCCTATAAAGGACAACTGCAGATAGTTTCAGAAATGCCAGCCTTGTTCATACACCAAGCTCTCTTCCAAGTTGATAATTATCTGTAATAAATAACTAGGGACCAGACCCCTAAGAAATTGACAAACCCTCCTGGGAAGCAGCCTCAAGCTCTGTCTTTCTCTGAATGGCTGTGAAACCCAGGCAGGATAAAGGGGCTGTCTGGGCTATCAATCAGTCCAGTCTAGACAGTGCCGAGTTATGCAATGCAGGCATGCTGCAGGCTCCATCTCTCTCCTGCTCTCATAAACCCCTTTCCTCCTTTGCTCTAACTCATTATTATACAGTTTTCTCCTGGTGAGCCTAACTACAGCACTGTGACAGTCACTCTATCAGCCAGTGCCTCTTTATCACACCCTTGGGTTTCCAAAAGAACCTAACCAGACTGAAGAAAGGCACGACCCTGTTTCTATTAGGGAGTCAGTCTTTTACATCTATCGATTCCATTGCAAATGTTTCTCCACCCAGAGAACCAGACCTAAAAGTTAATTTGGAAACTTCCTCAGGGAAATGAATTTCTTGATGTTAGATTTGAGCACACCTGGAGCTCCCTCAGAGCTTAGGCTACTAAGTTAGTTGTTTCTTCCCATCATGCCCTGGTGAGATTCTATTACAAGAAAATTTATTCCTATTTTGTGGACTCTGAAGCCCAGGAAAGGAGTTTGATTTTCTAAATTATACACTTTTATGTTGGCTTTTTGAAAGCTATTCTTTTCCTAAATTACAGCTAATTTTGTACAAGTATCCTTCTTTATTCAGTTTATTATAACATTAGCCTCAAATTGATGCCCTTCTTAGGCATAGCTGTCTGCCTAAGTACAGTAGAATTTCTGGAGGTAGATTTTTTTTGTGTGTATTTTTCTTGCCTCTTGAACACCATTTCTCAGCAAAGTGAAACACATTTATTCCACATTTCCTATTTAGGCTGGTGGATATTTGTCATGATATGACATGCTGTACATTTCCTTATGGCATATCAAAAGCATCTGAAAATATATTATTTTAATTAAGTATGTCAAATCCTCTGGCATAAGAAACCTCAAAGTGCCGTCCGGAACCTGCTGGATCATAGCTTATTCAGAAGGTAGCTGGAAAGTTGGCAGAGGTTTGGCTCTTCATGGAGGAAGGAGTAGCCATAATGAGACATAAAAACAATAACCTCACTTGCAAAAACAGGAGAACTGCTGAAGGCCATGGGAGGGAAAATGCAACAGATGCCCTTCTTAAATTAGTTTAGTTTACAGTGGATTGCAACTCCCAGGTTGTCTTAATGTGAATGAGTCTTGACATGATCCCCGGAACTTGGAAACTCAATCAGTTATTGAGCAGTTGCTCTGTTTCAGCATCTGCAGATTTTGGACACAGACACTGTGCAGCTCCTACAAGCTCTTTGTTAAAAGTTGACAAAAAAAAGTTGTCACTGTGTATAAGCTGCAGCCCTTTCTGGATGTTTGGGGTGGCAGTAGATTGGGCTATGATGGGAATGTGACATCATGTCAGTAATTGTTCTGGATTATCTCTTCTCTTAGCATGATATCAAAAAGTAGGAGAGTGAACACAAAATGCTTATTATCGAAAATCAGCAGTGAAATATGAGCAATATTAACATAGTTCATGAAGAGAAGGGAGGTCTTGGTATTCTCAAAGCAGGAACTCTATGAATCATACTTCATCATCATTAAATCTGACTTTTTAAGAACAGTCTGTGTGGGGTAAATCTGACCCTAGCTTGTGGTTCATTCCCCATTCATCCTGCCAGCTGTTTAGCTCAACGGCAGGGTTGCTGAAAATTATTGTGGTTCATTCCCCATTCATCCTGCCAGCTGTTTAGCTCAACGGCAGGTTTGCTGAACCTTGACAATGTTGACATCTTTTACCTGATATTTCCTGTAAGAGG